GATATTAAAAGTGGACCATAAGATAAAGATTGACAGTCTGTCCAGTGTAAGTAAGTAATAATTTCCTTGAAGGTTAGAGAAATACTAATATAAAACTGCTGTTATCCCAAATAGGGTCAGCTTCCCTAAGCTGAGAAAACAAGGGCCTGTTCTTAATAAGAACTGCATTACCTTGATGAGATCAGAGGAGGAACTTAAAACAACATTTTGTATAGCAAGCAGGGAGAAATTGTAGCAAAAAGGGAAAGCAGGACTTGCCCTCTCATTGCTTAAAAAAAGCCCCCCAAACAGAAAAACAAACAAAAATCCTAAATGCAGTCACAGAGAAAACATTGGCATTGCTTCAAAAAGCTCTGAAATTTGCCTTCAGCCTTTTAAAAGGCACTGACACAATGTATAATACAAAGATTTAACTATTTCCCATTACTTTCTACTATGTTTACACTAGAGTGAGGAGGCATTTGAATTGATTCTCTTTTTAATATTTCAGGAGATTGAAAAGCTTTTAAAGGAAGCTTTTTGCACACTTTATAATATTTGTTTTCATATCTCCTTGTGCAGCAACTACTGTATATCTTCATTATTTTTTCAGCAGATTTTTTTAATGGACAGCCACCTCAAGACTGCTTAGATAATAACGTGAAAAAAGAATGGTTACGAAGAATTCTTTGCACTTTAACTCCCATCTTTCCTTATTTTTGTGCCCCATGCCTTTTCACGTTCATTAGAAGCTGAGGCAAGTACAAATTTTGTGCGTATCGTAAGACCTCCTCCAATTCTATTTCACAGACGGCAAGCCCTTCAATGAAAGAAGGACTAAAAATCTATACAGTTTTTCTTATTTTAGTCTTTAGTATACAATTCCAGGAAACTTTAATGCCAGCATGTTTAATGCAACACACAGTGATCTGTGATTCTTAAATGTAAAGCTTGCTGTTACTACTTTTTATTTTTGTCTTATACTTTTATTAGCGATAGCTGTGGCGGCCGTATTTAATGTAAGAGTTCAAGATCATCTGTATTACCTTGTGTATTTACTGTGAATTTCTAGGTAAATCTAATCAAAGTTACATGTAATGTCAGAACTAAAGACTCACACCAAATTGCTTCTGAACTATCAATTCATCAAGAAAATTGATGCTGGTTTCCCAGCACTGACCTTCCAATGGCGTGGAAAATTTTTCCTGCTTAAAGCAGCACTTTCAAAGGAAAGAATTTTCATAATTTGTTAGAAGGAATATTTGGGGATACATTTCCATACTCCAATGGGTTTAGTTTAGCCTGTCGAGAGTAAAGTACAATTATAGGCATTGATGATTCACAGCACTTTCTATACTCGTGAACTGTTTCTTCCTGGTCTTCCGAGTGAGAGCATCTGGCATTGCTTTAATCAGGTACAAAGACAGTGGAGAGAGCTAGGCTCAACTAGCAGCTAATTCCTTGGCATAAGGTCATACACTAATTTCTTATAAGGTCAAGAGAGATCCTAGTGACTTTTTTGATGTGACTCCTATACTTTAGGACTTCCTGAATTAATTCCTCTTTGAAGCAGAACATATCGTTTAGAAAAATACTGAATCTTTATTTAAACACCTCTGGTAAACCTCCCACCACCGTTGCTAACTGATAAAATGCTCATCCAAGGTGTACGTTCACTTACAGAGTAGGGAATGAGGCCCTATATCTTTGAAAAAAATGACGGTTGCTTCCCAGTTGCAAAATAGAAACGCGTATCACATTTGAGTCTTTGATGAGCTGGGACAATTCGTTCCCAAAAGTTTACGCATAAATCAGAAGAGACTACTACTGTGTTGATAGCCAACACTAACACAGTCTTTCTTTTGCCAGTGAATATTAATGCAGTGGTCACTAAATATTTTCTTCTCTAAATTCAGATCACGGTTTGCCAACGGCCCAGAATAGAGGAATACAGTCAAATAGTGCTTTACACCACTCTACAGCTTTGGCTTTTAAGATGCCAAAAAGAAAGATATTGTCTCTTTTATGGTATCAACATCATAAAAAAAAGACTGGTGGTTGACAGTGGTGGGAATTAAAACCTAGTTTTCATCAAAAAATGCTTGCTTTTAAAGGTATTAACTAACTTTTTTTTCATGATATGGTATAAAACCATTTAAATCCTTTTTTATCGGAAACTATGAAAGTAGCTGACAGAATTTATTTACTGAAAACCAGGAAAAGTAAATGAGGACATTTTGTTACTATTTTAGTGATAGGGTCTGCCAGAATATTTCACCTTCTAACTGAATAAGAGATTTTGAGCACTTCAGAATGGAGATCATTTTAATACCCTTAAATGTGTTAAATTTCTTTTTTTAGACTGTATTAGCTTTTTTGTTTGTAGTTCACTTAATCTAGATTGTCCCATTAGAGTACATGATAGTATCTTCATGGAACTTGGAAGAAAAAGCAAAGGAAGCAGTTTGGAGAAAGCAAAGTATAATCAGGGTGGGTGTATTTGGCCAGAAAGATACATCCATACATGCCTATCTTTTTCCCTCCAGACTTTTCCCTTTTGTTAGTAACTTCACAGAATTACAGAATAGTTGAGGTTTGAAGGTTCTTCTGGAGATTATCTGGTCCATCCCCCTGGTCAAGCAGTGTCAGCTAGAGCAGGTTGCCCAGGACCGTGTCCAGTTGAGTTTTAGATGTCTCTGAGGAGGGAGACTCTACAACCTGCCTGGGCAACCTATTCTAGCGTTTGATCACTACAACAGTAAAACAGCTTTTTATTATGTTTAAATGGAACACCCTGTATTTCAGTTTGTGCCTATTGCCCCTTGTCCTTTTGTGGGGCACCATTGAGAAGATCCAGGCTCAACTGACAGTCAGGAAAGATGCTGGTCCTTTATGCCCCTTGCAGAATTAGCTGAATTCTTTAGGCATAAAACCACAACAGACACTAGTGCAGAACAGCTTTAACCTAGATGAGTTCAGAGAGCGAAGTAAAGAAAACCATTATTAAGGTTGTAGTTACTATAATAGAGTTTTAGTTTAGTTTTAGAAGTATGAAGACTTTTCATTGTATTATCCAGTGCATAGTGTAAAACAAGCTGAAAGTTCTAGATGTCCTATAACACGATACTCCTGTAATTTAGATCCAAAATTCTGTTTGTAGGACAAAACAATGTGTTTCTTTAAAGCATGTATTCTTCTGTGATTATCAAGGTCTTTAGCAGTTTCTGAAGGTCTGAGGAACTGCTGGTTGCAGCTGACTGCTAAATAAGTCTAGTGTGGAAAAATTGAAATTAATGTGGGAAAAAATACCTATATTTTTATATTTTATATTTAACCTATGTTATGCTCTTAGCATAACAGAAGATTTTAACAATATTGCCATGCAGAAAACACCCACAGCTGAGTAGCCTACAGCTCTCACTCTTTGGTGACTCAGTTCAGGTAAGTACACAAAGGTAAGGGTAAGTTAGAGAGGGAATACTCTTCACATAGGAATGTGCCTTCATGAACATGCCGCTGTCTTTGTATTCCTAATTTTGGATTCAGTTTGTCACTCTTTTTAGAGTCAACTGAATCCTACAAGTCACTCATATCTTGAAAGGATGCTTTGGGATGGGAAGTACAGCTGTGAACAAAACAAGAATGTCAGCTTCTACTAGGCAAAACCAGCTCTAACTTCAATAGAAAGGCATGCAGAACATTTGAAGGAGAGAGCTATAGCTCTAAGGTGCTCAGGATCTTGGTAGGAGTAAAATTGGGCCTCTTCAGAAAACAGAAGCAAAATAAATGTAAGCCTTTTTTCCCTAAGGGCTCAAAAGCCCTTCCCATCCTGAAGTATATTCCCTCAGTGTGTCTGGCCACTGGCCTAGAATATTTCATTCTGTGTCTCAAAACATGAGTATTTTGCACACTGATATTTGTTTCCATTTCGGTTAGTAGGCAGTAAGAGTCAAAGACGAAGTGATCCTTCAGACAAGCTATCAACGATTTAAATTGTTGGTATAATTTGTTTATCCAATTGACAGTTTGGGCCACTTAAATACACATCCTATATTAATTAGTATGAAGGAGCAACCTGCAGGTTTTCTGACACAGAGATATGGCTTCTAGCAGGCCAGAGTAAAACTTGTGATGATTCTTTATGTATTCTATAGCTAATTCAATAAGAATACCTATGAAATAAGCAGCTCTGAAAGCCACTTAACATATCAGCCTTTGGGTGCCATATAATGGTTTTCCCTTATGGACTAAAGTTAAACAGTTATAAAGAAGCAGTAATTTCATAGCTAGCCACCCAGAAACTTGGTCATGTTAAAACAGCCTTTTCAATAAATTAGAGGTAATATTATTCCTGAATGCAAATTAATGTCATTTCTGTTAGCCTCCTGGGATAGAAAAGCTCAAGGAGTATTGCAGGAGTCAATAGCGGCAGGGAACCATTGTGATTGGCCTGAATCTCGGAAATGAAGCTGCGAAATGAAATAAAAGTACATGTAATTCAACACAAGAACATAGGCATTGATAAATAAGAAATGAACGGTTGTTGTGACGTTTCACTATGACTATTCACCCTATGGTTTCCTGAGAAATGAGCAGAGAAACATGATGGGTTGATACAATATGTGAAATCCATCCCAAGAGCTTTGAAGCCTCAAGTGTGTTCTGAAAGTCATGCCCCAGAAAAGAATCCATGTTAAATAATACAATACTCGCATACCCCTTTTATTTTATCCACTTATCCATGAAGGCTTAACTTTAATACAGCCTCTGATTTTAATGGAATTTGATTGTATCCACTTTTGCGCCTGAACTGATCAAGGCATAAGAAAAAGCTAGGAATTTGGAAAAAGTTGCCCAATTAGGCAGCAAGGATGCATGTATTAGGTCCTCTCCTTAAAGCAATGAGACTCAGCAATAGCACTCTTTCTACAAAAACCCCTAACCATCAGTAGAGACAGCAATGTAAATCAACATTAACAAATAAAAATAAATGAATAACATTTTCACAAAAAAAGCCTAACCTGTGTGATGTGAAGACCTTTGCTCCAGAAAGGATGAGGCTGAATGTGATTCTGAGTCTTCAGGCCTGCCATCAGATCAATGTAGAAGGTGAACAGGTATTGTAATGGTAAACAACAGCACAAAATCATAAGACCTTCCCTTTGACTATTAATTCATTATATCAACCTTCTAGTAACCTTCTATCAGCAAAGTGTGCGTGAACTGACTTTCAAGCATGTATTTACAATACAGTGAAGTCAAGCTGAAGATATATGTTAAATCCTTCCCTGAATTAAGGCCAGGGTTGCTGTATTTTTCAAACAAAAAAATGAACGTATTTTTTAAATTATTTTAAGTGTAATTTATAGATTTTAGATGCAAGTATAAAAGTTTGTAGTGAATTTGTCTGCCTTTTCAAAATATTTTGAAGGTCCTTAATTATTTAACAATTAAACAGCAAGTTGAAAATGGAATAAAAGTGTTACCAAAACTCCTGAAATAGTGTATCCTATCCATGAATAAACATAATCTCAGTTTAATGTTTAATAATAATTTAATTTTACTTAAGAGTGATTGTACTTTTAAATTTTTATATGATTTAAAACAACCACTCTGAAATAATCTTTTTTTTAGTTGCTATTTTTAGCCCTTTCCAGAGATGCTTCTGTTTGGATTTAGAAGCTTACATAGAGAAAGAGCTTATACTGCGTACTGTCTGCCTGGGAAATACATTTGTGTTTGGCTTTTCTTTTGAGCATAGTCTTATATCATTCCACGTTTTCAAAGCCGTTTTTGCTTCAATGGTTTGTCCCTACCAACAACCCACAGCATCACTTTTTGCAAGTTCATTTCAGTTAGCATTTTTAACTAATTATTTAGTATTAGCCCTGAAGAGGCCTGTCCACTACTGTACTGATTTTCTGCAGCAGCTCTTCGATTTGCTGGCTCATCAGTCAGGTTGGGAACCATGTCCATTTTATGATACTGAGTATTTTTGGTAAAGCAGTATAAGCCTTAAAATATTGAGAAGCGTTTTGAGCCTTGCTGGTAGCCAGCTATGCACAATAAGCTTTGAAGAGTCCTGTGTCCACATACGGCTCCAGAGCTCAGCTATAGAGAGAAGGGAAACCTAAGTTGGTTTTAAGTGATATTTTCTGACTGCAGGGGAAGAAGATGAAAAATTAATTCAGAGTATTTCTGTTTCTTTACTCTTTCTTTTGAGTAAATTATCTGAAACACCTTTCAGATTCTTTTGTAAAATAAACCATTACATTTTCTAATAGACCATAAGATTTTCTAAGGAACAGAAGAGTTTTGTCTTCATGTGTAAAAGTGCAAAAGCTGAGAAACTGTGAAAGACTGTTCTTTTTTCCAAAGACATGTAAAACTCCAGTGCTTTAGCTCTATCAGCACACCGTTTAAAGATAGCTTGGGAAGTCTACAGCACACAGTGCAATATCTTTTATTACAAATGCCTCTTCAGCAGAGAGTTCAATTTTAAAATAAGATTAGTAAGGTTGCAGAAATTAAGCGCTCCGAGATTAGGAAAAACCAACATTACGTTTACCTAAGCAACATTAGGCCAGCATTAAGGTGTTCTGTGGGTGAGCAGTTTGACATAGTCTTTAATTTCACGATCACATTCCTGTTGGTAACCAGGATCCTGCCTCATCCAGTGCACAAGAGAGAGGGTGCTCACAGTTTCAGAAGCATTTCAGTTTTATGTAGATGTATCCTTCCTGTTCACTGTGGCTGCTAGATTTTTTTTATTCTACACACCAATCAAAAGGTTACTCTGGTGACTTTCTCTGTGGGCTTTCCTAAGGACTTCTGTGGCAAAGTATCTGATTGCTTCACAAATGCTAATTAATTTCTTTTCCCTTGAATCTTATCAGATAAGGGTTCCTATTATTCCAGTTTTCAAGGTGTGAGTTGTCACAGATGTGGGATGTCACAGTTTCTGAGCACTCAACATTTCTGCAAATCAGACCCCAAAGTACTAAGAGAGGCACTCAGAAAATGATAAGTCATCACTGATTGCCTCTGGCAATGTAAATAACTTGCCTAGCATTATGCAGCAGAGGCATAGGCACTGTTCAGGTGTTTTATCTTGAAAGCTCTTGCATTTTCCCCCATTTTCGTAAAATCCTTTCCCCCAGCCTCATTCTTTCCACCCACATGCTCAGCAGCCTTGATCAGACTGTACTCCTATTTTCTCTTCAGTCTTTGACTCCTCTCTCCTAGGCTAGATAGCCCCTGTTGTGATCACCTCTTCTTTCCCACCTCCTGGCCCAAATTACTCCCTTTGGTCATTACCAAGCTTGGGTCTGATCCACTTTCCGCTCAGGTCAGACAACTTCTTTTTGCGGCCTCTGGGCCCAGAAAAGTATGTCAATGTTATACTGGATGGCAAAAAAAAATCAAGATAGCGTAACACAGGTAAATTAGAACCTGCTTCAATCTAAATTGCTTTGACAAAAGCTAATCAGTTGAAGAGCAGAAGTAGGAACTGAATATGGCTCAATAAATCTATAAAGTTCCTAAAGAAAGAAAACACTATCTGGTACAGAGCCACTTCAGAAAATTTTAACTTGCCATATAAAGACTAGAAAAACAATGTTGCTAATAATGATCAGAAATAAATATTCTTGTATTCAATTGCCATCATATCTATTCAAAAAATAGTCAATGACTCTACAGAGTGTTTTTTTCTTTCTTTTTTCTTCATTGTAGTGGCTAGTAAGGACTAGAAGGACACTATAAAAACAGATTATAGCCACATTAGAAAAAGAGATACTAGTATAAGCAAAAGGTTGACAAAGAATGAAGTACAGACAACTGATCAAGAAAGAAAGCAATGTTCTAGCTAGGAAGCAGCGTAAAAGGATAAGCAAAATTTAGACTAACATGCCTATCACAGACTAAATTAAGAAAAATTAAATAGAAGACCAGTCAGCCATAAAGAGAAAAAGAGAGAGGGGAAGAAGAGGCAAAAAGCTTGGCTGCTGTGGAGAGACAATATGGAGAGACCAAAGTCAATGTAGTAAAGATAGACTGGCCAGCAAAATGAAAATAGAGATTTCTACATCCAAGATGAAACAAAAATCAGATGTCAATGCACTCAAATGGGTGGGGAGGGTCAATCTCTATGAAAGAGTTCTGAAAACTCAGCTGCTAAGGATATTTGTATATCCAAAAACCCAGCATCAGTGATGTGTAACTAGCACATGAAAACTAGAAGGGGAGAGTTAAGTGAAACGGAATTAGATGCCTGCTTTGCTTACCTCAAAGGTGCAGAAACACTATAATACAGATTTTGAGGAAAGAGTAATTTAAAAAACAAGAGAAAAATAAAATGAGATAAAATATTATGCAGATTTACCAAAAAGATCAAGTCATGCTACCCTGATAATTTTACTTGATAAAATAACTGCTTTTCTAGACTAAGGGAAGAAAGCTTGTCAGCCTGTTCAGATTACAGCAAAGTATTTGGCACAATATCACATGGGAAATTATCAGTTACATAGGAGAAAGTGTAGCTTAGCTCAAGAACTGCAATGTTAGGAAGGAACATATTAAGAGGAAAATAACAGGCTGTGCTGTCAATCTGGAAATAATTTAGTATGACTGAGTTTTTTGATGATTTGTCTTATGCTGATCTTATTTAGTATTTTCATTAACATGTCTGTTCAAAAACTGGGAGTGTGCTAGTACAATTTGCTAGCAATACAAAATTAGGAGACTTTATAAAAGAGGATCTGAATATCATTCGAGAAGCAAATGATGTCAAGAAATGAATCAGAATAATAGTAAAAAGTGAATAATAGGAACTGAATGAAGTCAGCTAATACTAGATGGAAAGTTATTCTTTTAGGAATAAATAAGAAGAGTTATTACTATAAACTGGGAGATGATCACCTAGTAACAATAGCAAAGGAAGACACGCATATGTTAGTAGGGTATGAGATTATACATATGACTCATGAATGTAGCATAGCATATAAAGGAAAATGTCTTTCTTGGGGTGTATGTCCAGGAGAGCCAGAGAAGAGCTGATGCCATAAAACAAGCTCTGGGAGCAAGATCTCCTTTTGGAAATCTGGTGACCAATTCCCACTACCAACAGAATCATAAAAAATAGGCTAGCAAGGGCTCTTTGGAGGACGTGTAATCTATCTCCCTCCTCACACACCATTTCAGATCTGTTCTATCTGAACTATTCCCAACAGATGATTATTTAAACTCTTTTAATGGAGCTCCTACAGTCAAGGTCTCACTTTCTTCCCACATAATCACAAATAAGCTCCCAAATTGCAGAGACTATTTTTTTCCTACCGCCACATATAGGCCTCCTCACCTGCCATTTAAGGGCTCTACTTCTTTTCTGATCCATAATAGGTATAAATAAAAATCTATACACTTCCCCGTTGTTTCAGCCTTTTCTACACCGCAAGGCAGTTAATATATAGGGCCTCAGCTCTACCCTCCTTGCTACACTAAACAATAAAATTATTTCAATCTTTCCTCCTTGCTTGTGTTTTACAGAATTCTCATCACGCTTGTTGTTCTCCTCTGGACTTTTTCAAATTGATCTACATCTTTCTTGAAGTGCGATGCCAAAATCTGGACTCAAGCACATCAGCTGATGCCTAAACAACTTTTGTACAGGGTTTGTCTAAGACTATTATTCAGGCTGTACGTCCCTGTATGTATCCACTGTCTTGTGATAAAATATGACATTGCTGGTCTGCGTTCATGCTGTGATGGACTACACTGCCCAAGGCCTCTTCCTCAAAAACACCTTCTAGACATGCGTTCTCTGCCTTGTGTTTGTGCTGCTGATTCCCTAGGCACAGCACTTTATACCTATCCTCTTTAAAGTGCAGCCTACTTATTTCAGAACCCTTCTCCAACTCATGAAGATCATATCAATTCTACTTATGCTCGCTAAATGGCCTGCCTTCTCTCCCAGCTTGCTTTCATCTGCACATTCAACATTTGCACTCAGTGATCCATCATTCAAGTCTTAGTGAAAATGTTAAGTAGTACTCAATCCAGGTAGACCCTCCGAAACCCTCCTCAGTTATATGCTTGTGAAAGAAAGATTAATTCGGACTGGGAATGATGCACAGAGGGGCTATTCAGATAAAAAGGATGTGGAGAACCTGTCATATGTAAAGGGAAGGGAAGAAAAGAATGATTTACATTCAAGCCCAATGCTGGTATAACAACAAACGGGTATAAACTGGCCATGCATATATTAGGTTGGAAAGTAGAAGATTTCTACAGAAGAGTTACTTTCTACAAATGGGAGCGTCAAAGACCAAAAAACTATTTCTAAGTTGGAGCTCAGTTTGCTAGTGAAGCTTTATGAAGAAGTCTGAGACATCTGGAGCAAGAATCAATCACACAGGAGGACACTTCCAGACCTCTGCTCCTAGAAGGAGGGCCTGTGACGATTCAGAAAAGACAGCTCTAGATCTTAACCCCAGTTCAGTCTGCAGCAGCAGAGAAAACAAATGATAAGAGCTGGGATAAAGCATGGCCAAAGTATAAAGATATTCGGCCGTTAGATTCTAGCCTGTCTCTGTGTTATATGTGCAAATTACCAATTTGAAAGACTTAAAAGGCGTCTCAGCTGAAGTCTATATTCTCTCACACAGCAAAGCCATTTTTATCCCTAATTTTTAAAAACTTCTCCAAAGGCTAGCTGAACTAGAGCCTCTAAAGGAAAGGGTACCAGAATTTTTGTAACATGAGCAAAACTTTATTTTTCCTAGCCTAGCTTTTGCAAACAGCCGGACAATTTCCCCCAAAGTTTTCCAAGTAAATTCCAACTTGAGGCAGACACAGTGCATTGAAGGTTATAGCACAAGGGATTTGAGCTTAACAAACGTGTATGCAACTGAAAAGAGACCTTCATTTTGTATGTGTTATGTTGCCAACTGGAAGGATGTGCTGCGCGACAACAGCAACAGGTGTCACTACCATCTTGTCTGTGATACCAAAAGGATGCTTCCTAAGCCAAATATCTTGCAGTATTAACAGATGGTGAAAAATATTGAGCGAGCTCAACTAATGCATTTGTGAAGAGGCACAGGAGATACCAAATAATGTTCAATGTATTGCATTTAGGGTAAACAATCAGGAGTCAGCAAGACATCCTCCATAATCTACAAGCCACTACGTATCAAATCAGGCACATTCTTGCTGAGTCCCTCCTGATGACATTTGACACTATAGGAGTTTTTAAGCTCCAAAAGCAAAATACAGTGCATGGTACTTACAGAGTTTGCTGCCACTTCTTTAAGAAGACAAGTTTGTGTTCCTTCCACTTGCAAATAACTGGCTTAGATCACCTAAGAAACAGCAATGAACTCTTTAGAGATCACAGACCCTTCATCATGCCAGATCTTATATTGCAATTGATAGACCTAGCTCCAATGAGGAGCTATACAGGGTGGGGTGGGAATCCGACCCAAAAGTGTTCAGGTTTTGGTGGTACTAAATCATTCTAGGGAAAGTTTGACATGAAGCACTATTTTGTGGTGGTCCTCAAAGAAAAAAAAAGTTAAGTTATTCATGGCAGTAACACAATGTTCTCTTCATGGTTCTCCTCAGCGTGGTGGTAATTTTCCAGGTTTGCTCAATGATATTAGCAGGTTTGGTCTCAATCCTACCAGTATCCTAATCTATTAATTTCAGATGCTTCATGCTCATTTTGTCACATAAGAGCTAACAGGGAGCACAAAAATAAAGTCATGGCTTTACCTATGACTTTCAAAGGGGAATGCTGTCAGGTAATGACATTTTCTGAGTAGTGTTAAGAGGCTAAGGGAACTCCACGTCTTTTTGACACAAGTGCATAATTTGTTGGCTAGCCCTTCTATCACACTCATGCTGTAGATTATCTGAAGCTTTAAAGAGATTAAGTTCTACTTTTATGATATAGAGAAACTTACCAGTAATAATAGACTTAATAGGGTCAAACTGTAAATTCAGACATTGAGTTTTTATTTCTTCTCATTGACTTTCAATATAGAATCTTCCGTAGTCTGATCTGCATATGTTAAAAAGTGTAATTATAAAGTAGTCCTTTATCCAGTGAGTTCAAATGCAAATATTAGCTCTTTGCTGTGTACAGGAATTGGTTTATGCAAGTGAATTGCAGTTTAACTGAAACTACTATACTCTTTCTGTTTTACTTAAATTAATGTAACTATTATCTGGCTAATTAGCTGGCAGAGTGGCTTGTCCTGTTATTCATGGGAAATTTCTTTCTGGATACAGTGGAATAAATGAATATCCATCTATCTGCAGCACAAAATACTGATTAGCAGCAGATCATGTTATCCAAGAAGATAGTAATGATTTTTTTTTAAAGTGTCTTTTGTAAGAAAACTCTTGAGTTAGCAGAAATAACTCTATTGTAAGCAATGTGAATTACTTGTCACCCCTGCAGAAGGCAGTTAATTTTATAGTAGGAACAGAAGACTGATACAAGGCAGCCTTCACTGCTAGTGTCTGGTGCTGTCCCCTTTCCATAAATCTCTATTTTTACTTCTAGCACTGCCTCCTGTTTTACAGTCTCTAATGGTGTTACACATTCAAGAAAAAATAAGATATTTTGGAAGAATATTTTCACAATCTCCAAACATATTCTTAAGTACTGACGTATAGTCAATCCCTAGGAAGAAATAAGAAAATAATAATTTAAAATCAATAAACTTCAAATCATTTTGTGCAGAAGAGATGGCAAGAAGAAAGTGCAGGACATCTTCACAGCAGCAAGAAACACGTCTGTGGTGGCAGTTTTATAAGAGCTGTAGCTACCTGGGAAGATCCACACATATAGTGGCTTTGCTTCCCAAAGCTTCTTATGCCATTCCCATTATGCTTTGCTGTAAATTAAATATTTGCTATCGCAAGGACTCAGTACAAAGAAGCATAGAAGCAAACCTGATATATGCTCAATGACAATCTGCCTATAGCTAAAGAAAAATTTACATTTTTTCATGGCCTGCAAGCAAAACCATTTTCATGTTAAATCATTCTTTATTTCTTTGTAATCAAGAGTACTGATTTTATAGCCTTTCAGACTCCTGTGCACAACGCAATTCTCATCATTTCAGTAATAATCCTAGCGTGAATGTCCAGGAAATAGATTGAATTTCTAAAAGAAATGAGAGGGTCCCCAAATACAGGTATGAAACTTCCTAGGCTCTAAGTCTTTTTTTCCCATTTGCAGTCTCATCCTCTAGACTTTGCTAGGACTTCCCTAGAATTTGGATTTAGAGTTTAAAGGCATTACCTACAAACAAGAGCTGTTCAAGAAGAGCTAGATATGGAGGTAGTTGTCCAACTTTCAGGAAGAAAAGATTTACAAAGTGGCACATGGACAAAGTGTAAATAAGAAGAAAATTCTGAGAAGCTAATCCTCCATCACTGAAACCGTCACTTAGGAAATTGGCAGAATAGATTGTTTCTATTCTGTAGGTAAGACTATCAAATGCATAAGCTGGGGACAGTGATGAATGGACTAAAGCCTAGTTTACGGCTTCATGTCTAAGGCCTAAGTTCCTCTCAACATGAGATAAACTAAGGATTTTTGTTTGTTTATTTTGTCCACTTAGATATAGCTTGAAAAGATATTGATGGCAGGTCAAGAAGTAATCAATAATTTAATGAATGTTTTTTTAAGATGGGCCTTGGGTAAGTGCCAATGATTATTCCTTATCTTTGCAGTATCTGGAATTTACAGTCATTTGTGAATCAAGCAGAAATTCACAATGTTAGCGGGAATGATCAAACACCTTCTGTTGCTAAGTCTTGACTCAAAGGGTTGCTTAATTATTCAACTCTGGCATGCCCTTTTCATCAGTTCTGATCATTTACTATTTTGGCATTAACTGGTTAATCTTCTTGAAGACAAATATTTCTGTGTAGCTGTGACATACCTAAGTAAGCAGGGCAACCACTATGAATGAAATCTCTAAAAGCTGCATACTGAATAATATCAAGCAACAGGATATGCTGGGTTTCTTTTGGGTTTCTTTTTCTTTGCCATTATGTTCTGAATGCTGCATGTTCATATTTTCAAGATCTTCTCTGGAAGTAAAGGATTTAATTTATATTTTTCAGTGACAGCTTAATCCTGTATTGCTATAGACCTGAAAAAGTACAGCAAAACTTATCACAAACTCATTCCCAAAAACCTCTGCAGTGATGGGTGATTTTCTGTTCCCAAACAGGTCAACTCCTAGCAAGCTGTTCTGGTGCTGACAATGGCCATGTACAAATTAAGCAGTGGGGAAGACAATGCATCACTAGTAATTCATTACCTGATAAGCTTCCGACTGACTTTAATGGACTTTGGCTCAGGTGCTGACATGGCTTGAGGCAGTACTTGTTCCCTCAAGAATATCCAGTATAGAAAATTATGGAGCCTGCTGGGAAAGCAACTGGCCTCCAACTTTGTTCTTTCAATAGCTGATTCTTGATCATCAGTGTCCTTAAAACCGGAAGGAAGTGCAGGTGGGTCATGGCTCTGAAGCTTCTGTCTTTCCATCCAGGGCACAGATCTACAAAATCTGATTTTTCTCATTGATAACTGAATGAGTTACTGGATGGAAACATTGATCCTTTCCTTTGCAAACGCTTCTAAAATGTCTTAGCCACAGGTTCCAGCTAAATCTCCAAGTTAACCTTCTGATTTGCTGATAGACTGCACCTCCTTACATGGAATATTGCATTAATGCTCATTTGAACATATTACCAATAGCACTAAGCACTGTGGTCTGCTACCGAGCACCAACAATATTTACCTTAAAGTCACTGACAGACCAGTCCTGCACATGCAGAAACCTCCCACAGCTTCAGAATTAACACACTGGCTTATGGCTTAAGTTAGCTTCTTCATATTGAATGGAAAAAATTCGCAAGGAAAAGGCGGTTGAATTCTCTCCAAGATATCAATGCAGATATCTGTTGTCAGGAACAAATAGACTGTATTAGACAGAACCGTCTACTGCCAAGAACTTGTATCTATCTTTCCAAATGTTCCCCAGCTATTGTAGAAGCAACTTCCTTGATATTCATTTCAGCTGATTCCTGCCTCTGGAGTCTTTGTGGAAATTAGGCTTATTTTGACAGATTCCCAAATTTTATTCTATGTGGATTTGCTCAGAATATGTTTAAGGTCCCTGGAGCAAACAAGGCATTTGCATTCCAGGGCCTCCTTTTTGCTTCTCTCTTTTCATGATATTTAAAAACAAAAGGTTTCATTCACAGAGCACAGCAAAAAAAAAAAGGTCACTTTTAACCAGCTAATTTATCCAGTATACAGTTTTTTTCCAGCTTTAATTTTGTCCTGCAGGTGCTCAGTTTCTTATTTCAAGACCATTTGCATTTGTATGGGTCGAATATTTTAGAGCCTTTTCTTTTACGTCTTTTGATCTTTCTTGCAGGCCTCTGGGCTTCTTTCATCTCCTGTCACTCTCTTATCCAAAATGCTAATCTCAGTTGTAACTGTCTCAAACCTTTCTTCTAGAAAGATCGTTGAAGTCTGCAATTTATCACTTCTCTATTGTGACTGCAAGAGCAGTTCTAAGCAGAACAAACCTTATCTCATTGATAGATACTTTGTCACCTTGTGGCTGCAGAGCATTCAAAAATGGCATTTGGCATGTTAGATGCAGATGGCATCAACAGGACTATGAAGAAACATTTTTCTGGTTTTTTATTGTTATTTCTTGGTATGTAAATGCCCGAAAAACTGTGCAGTGGCTTCAGCACACTTTTGAAATAATGAGACCTCTTCTGCATCAAGTTTCATATTTTCCTGGGCAGATTTTTATGGGCTTGGAGTTGATTCAAAATTCTGCTTCTCTGATGAACGGTAAGTCTTGCCCCATTAAGCTTCAGTATTAACACCACTCCCCCTTCACTACCATTGTTTCTGTCATATGTGGCTGTGGGAAAGTTAGACTTTTTGCTAATACCATCAGAATTTGTGGCTTCTGGGTAACTGTTTTACTGCAATCCATGTCTAATCACAGGACACCCGAGAAGCTTAGCAGTGTGTTGTAGCGGACTGCAAATTAGCTTGCTTTTCCATTAAAATAGTCCTGGTTTATTCTTTCCTGTGTGTTTATAAAACTGACTGGCTGAACACTTGGGTACTTGTGTGTTTTGTTTGTCTAAATGGTGGATATTTAAATGGCTTTGATTGCATTCATTCCACCTAGCTATGGTTGAGCAAATGTTTATTGCATATTTTTTTAAGATGTGAAGGGTGCAAATTCATTTGGAATTTGGAAAATAATTGTATTAATATGTGGTAAAGTGGTTTGGATTTCAGAACT